AAGCAATTCCATTATTATGCAGTGTTGGGGGAAGGGTGAAGGCTGCACTCCAGGGGCCAGAAGAGATGACCATGAGGGCACAGAGAAAGAAGGGACCACTCAACATGGATATAGATTAATAAAAATGGCTGTTGGTTCAAGGGGAACATAGGATTCTGTTGCCCCAAGCAGACCCATGGAAAGTTATTAAGGGATTTCATGACTCATGTCACCTGTAAGAGAAGCATTCGCTACTCTGGTCTTTCATGTCTTTAGGAGAAAAGGATTACAATCTATAATCCCAGAAGTTGTCAGGGCATGCCCCTGCATCTCTGTAGTAACCCAAGAGGTGGGACCAGCCACCATCTGGATCACCCAGCACAAAGAGGCAAACAGTCCCAGAAGACTGGCAATTAGATTTTACGCACTAGCACCCTGTAGAGACTATAATACCCATTGGTGCTTGCTGATGTTTTCTTAGGGTGAACTGAGGCCTATTCTACCTAGACTAAAGACTCAAGAAGTTGTCAAGACCTTTTTGAAAGAAGTTATTCCCTATGATAGACTCCGTAAATCACTCCAAAGTGACAATGGGCTTCCCTTTACCTGCAAAATAACCCAAAAGATCTCACAGACCTTGGGCATAACCTACTATCAGTACACCTTTAGTCTTTGAGAAATATAGACCATGCAAAGTTACCTACTAGGATATCACTGGCCAAAATATGCCCAGAAGCCCTAGAGACGTGGTTATATTAGATTCCTGATGCTTTATTAAAAACTAGAATCAGGGGGCTGGAGGGATGGCTCAGGGGTTAAGAGCATTGGCTGTTCTTCCAGACCTTCTGAGTTCAATTCCTAGCAACCACATGGTGGCAAAAAACTATCTGTAATGAGATCTGGTACCCTCCTCTGGCCTGCAGGCATACATGAAGACAGAACACTGTATACATAATAAATAAATAAATAAATCTTTAAAAAAAAAACAAAACAACAACAAAAACCTAGATTCAGGCTGGACATGGTGGCACAGGTCTTTAATCCCAGCACTTAGGCAGAGGCAGGTGGATCTCTGTGAGTTTGGGGGCAGCCTCCTGGTCTACATAGTAAGTTCCAGGCCAGCTAAGGCTACACAATGAGAACCTGCCCTAAAGAACCACAAAATTCTTAGATTTTGTGGTCATAAAGCTCTCTCAGATCCTGAGAATAAATCTCATGAGCCACAAGGACAGCCAAGAAGCTTTGTGTTACTGAAATTCTGGGGGAGGAATCCCTATCAGATCAGTTCCTTCTGAGATAGAAGGGCACTTCCCAGATCCTCTTGAGTGTAACCATAGAAGTACAGCTACAGGGCCATCCCCCAATGGAGCCAAGCCCTTTTTGGATCTTCACAGTCTCACATCATTCTGAATATTTGTTTCCAAGAACCATTATAGCCCTTAAAATTGCTACAAGACAATGTTTGATTATAAGTCTATCAGTCACAGCCTCACTTTTTGCCCTAAGTGGCAGCTTGGTAGGGTTTCATCCAGGTGCTCTGAGTGCAACTGTGCATTCTCACTGACTTCAACTTCTCATTGTTTTTATGCTACCCCCAGAGTTTATTTTTCAGAATTGTCCCTTGAGTGTGTGTGTGTGTGTGTGTGTGTGTGTGTGTGTGTGTGTGTGTGTGTGTGTGTTCAGGAATACAGGTGTTTGAGGAGTTACAGGCAGTTGTGAACCTGACAAAAATGGTTGCTGGGAGCTGAACTCAGGTCCTCTGGAAGAGCAGTAAGTGCTCTTAGCTGCTGAGCCATCTCCCCAGTCCTGTGCTAGTCAGTTTTTGTCAACTTGACACAAACTAGAGTCACCTGGGAAGACAGAACCTCAGTTGAGGAATTGCCTCCATCAGACTGCAACGTTTTCTTGGTTGCTAATTGATGTGGGAAGGCTCAGCCCACTGTGGGCAGTGCCATCCTTGGGTATGTGGTCCTAGGCTGTATAAGAAGGCAGATGGAGTGAGCCATGGTGAGCAAGTGTTCCTGCCTCCTGGCTCCTGCTTGAATTCCTGCCCTGGCTTCCCTTGATGATGACTCTAACCTGTAAGATGTAATAAACCCTTCTTCCCTAAGCTAGTTTTGTCCCTGTTTTACCACAGCAACAGAAAGCAAACTAGAACAAGCCCAATTCACCTTTAAAAATAATTAAACTTCCTTTGGTTATCCAATACCACCAAATGGTCATCCCTGAAAATATATGTACAAGTAAGTTACATTATAGAGACTGAGCAGGTTGTATTTAGTAATACACACACACACACACACACACACACACACACACACACACACACACACATATATGTATGTATGTGTGTGTAACAATAATTCATGAAAACAGAGGCCATGAATTTGAAAGAGAGCAAGGAGGGTTATATGGGATGGTTTGGCAAGAGGAAAGAGAAGGGAGAAATGATATAATTATATTATAATACATTATAATAAAAGAAAAATTGTTTATTTGGGATGGAGAGATGGTTCAGAGGTTAAGAGCACTGATTGCTCTTTCAGAGGACCCAGGTTCGATCCCCATCACCCACATGGTGGCTCTCAACTGTCTGTAACTCCAGTTCCAGGGGACCCAATGCCCTCTTCTGGGCTCCAGGGCATGCATGGCATGCAGGTGGTGCACAGACACACATGCAGGTAAAAAATTGACACACATAAAATAATTAAATAAAAAATTTAATTGTTTATTATTTTATGTGTACAGGTGTTTGTCTACATGTATTTCTGTATACCATGTGTATGTCTTATGCCCTCAGGGTCACTGGATGCCCTGGGAGTGGAGTTACAGACAATTGAAAACCACCATGCAGGCACTAGGAATTGAACCTGGGTTCTCTGAAAGAGCAGCCAATGTTCTTAACCACTGAGGCATCACTCCAGCCCCTCACCTTTTTTTTTTTGAGACAGGGTCTCTCCTTGGTCTGAAGCTCACTATTTAGGCTGGGTTGGTTTTCCAGGAAGTCCCAGAGATCTTCTGTCTCTGCTGCCTCAGTCCTGGGGTTACAAGTAAGTGTGTCCCTCCGTGCCAGGCTCTTAAATATGTTCTAGGGGTTGAACTCAGGTTTTTATGCTTGCACAGCCAGCATTTCACTCCCTGCCTTCGCCCTAGAATTCCTTTTGTGTTTAGACACATTCTCAGTATATAACCAAGGGTATGTGTTTGAACATTTTCTTTTCTTTCTCCCCCCCCCCCATTAATTGCAGTAAACCACGTATACCCTGAACTTAACTCCTTTCTAGCCTGGACTCAACAGTATGTTAGCAATGTTAGTAAAAATAACTACTGGACTTGGGGATGACTGCCATTTCTAGTGTCCCTGGTCTCCTGTGTGGTCTCCTCTCTTCAAGGTCACAACTGAATATAACACCTATAACGCACTGAGGAGGAGCAACAAGAATCAGCTATGTGCCAAGCAGCAGTATAGATTCCCTGTCTATATCATCAGTCTGGACACAACAAGGGTTTGTCTTCAGCAGAAGCCAACTACCAAGCACTATACATGGCCCAACACCAATTATGTGACATTCAATAGAGTTTCCTCTGAACTGAAACAGCCTCTCCAGGAGGGAGGGGAAGGCTCCTGCCACCCAGGAGGTAGACAAACATCACATGTCTGGAGAAGTAGAAACTCACAAAATTCTTAAAGGCCCCTCCTCAGCTTTATAAAGGAATAAAGAGCTTCGGGACTGTTGAGCCCCCCGCAAGCTGTGCAGAGAGCACCAGGGTTGCAGCCATTGTCCTCACCGGTGTGGTGGGGTGGACGTTTTGGTGAAACAGCTGCTTTTTTTTGTGGGGTCATCCCTGTTCCTAGAAGTAATCCCTTGTGCATGCTCTGGTTAGTAACCCCAATAAGAACTCATTAGTCTACCAAGTTGGACTTTACTGCAATCATGACATCATTATTAATCATTATGTATTCTCCTGGGGTGAATAGACACACATGTGTTGCATCTTATTAGAAAAAAAAATCTCTCACACAACACGTGACCCTGTTGCTAAACTCCTTAGGGTCTTGACAATCACAGAGGTAAAGAAATGGGGTGGAGGGTAAGGCTCAGTGGTTAAGAGCACTTATTAGTCTTGCAGAGGACCTGAGTTTGTGTCAGGGACCAAACATGGACCATGGAAAAGTACTAGCTAGGCCAGAGAACAAGCCCCTGCCCTAAACCAGATGCCCCCAAAGATAAAGAACAGGTCAGGTAGGTCAGGTAGCATAGCAACAGAACAATGGGCCCTGACCAATGACCTTACCACCTAGCAGCCTCACGACTTGCACATCTCCCTTCACCTGCACGTACGGCACATCGTGCACCTCTTCCCTCCTTCCTGCCCCGTCTCCCTCCCATGCTATATAAGCCTTGCTGAGGAGAATAAAATTTGAAGCTTGATCAGAACCCTGTCTTGCTGTCTTCCTTTCGAGTCTCCCCATCCCTTTCATTCTCTCCCGCAGGTGGGTTGCCCCCATTGACACCCCGCTGGCCGGGGCAAGTTTGGTTCTAACACTCACACATCAGACAGTTCACAGCTGAGTATAACTCCAGGGGATCTGACACCCTCTGTTGGCCTTCATGGGAATTGTTCCCAAGGTCACAAACCCACCTCTCTTTCTCCCTTGGTCTCTTTTTGTCTCTCTTTTACACACACACACACACACACACACACACACACACACACACACACACACACACACACCAGAGGGGTATGGAGGCACCACATGGCAATTCACAACTATCTGTAACTTCAGCTCCAGAGGATCTGATGCCCTCTTTTGGTCTCCTCAGGCAATAGGCATACATGTGGTTCACAGACACACATGCTGGCAGAACACTCATATAAAAAACAGACAGACAGACAAATAAAACCCTCAAAACAAAAACAAACAACTAAAAATGAGGTAAAAACAAAAAACAAATCAGAAGAGTTTAAAAAAAATGGGTAGAGGCTGGAGACTTAGCTCAGTGGTAAAGAGCACTTACTTGTTGCTCTTGTAGAGAACCCTGGTTTTATCCCCAGATCCTTCATCGTGGCTCACAATCATCTATATCTTTAGTCACAGGGGCTCTCAAGCCCTCTGTTCTCCTCAAGCGTAAGGCACACATGTGGTACACATACATGCTATTGTGAGGTATCCACCAGAGAAGACTGCTCAGACATGGGTTTGAGCCAACAGAACATCTTTATTAGCCAGCCAGTGACTACACTGGGTGTTCAGGATCCCGGTGTAGCACTGAGGTTTCTCAGGGCGAACTTTTAAGCATAAAAACCATGTTCTGGCCTGGCATGCTTCAGTTAACATGAACAGCTAGCCAGAAGCAAAAACTACAGAAGCCAAAAAGCAAGGTGAGTACATTTAGAGACTTTCCCAGAACCACGGACTTGGATGGATCAGGTCTTTGTTTTGGCAGGCGGTGCCGTCTATGTGCTGAGTTTTATGGCCTCAGTGGTACTCCTCTTGTGGATTCACTTGTGTTAAGGTCTGGGGCCTTGTTACATCTCCCCTGGCCTGAGTGAATGAGTCAAATCTTGGACTCACTTACTCAAAAGAGGTGTAGTTGGTCCTAAGGACCATTAATTTTACTGAACTGATACACAATTGGCATATAGTGTAGGATGCAGGGCCCCACCTTAGATCCAATCAGAATGAGAATTAAAGGCCCAGCCAGTGCTGCTAGAAGAGTTGCTAGCCAGGGGTGCCAGGAGAACAGAGACTGGTACCAATTAGCTGATTAATGTCTTTTCTCGCGGCCCCCCCCCGCCCCCCGACTCCCTCTCTTTGAGTTTTTTTCCCAACCATGGCAAGATTTTTTTTAATTACTCCTGCTCAATTAGCATAAAACAAAAGGTTTTTCCCAAAGCCAGACTTAGTTTCCTGTATCTCATGAGATGTAAGTCTAAGTCTCTCCAGCTTTGTAGGACAATTTCTGCACGGGAATCTAACTACTGTCTTACTACCTCTAGGTCCTGATCAATGTATCTATTTATCTTGGAAGGCATCAGAAGAGGCATTGTTTAGTCAGACCATTAGTACAGGCTCACCAACAGTCTCAGGGACTTGGCAATATTGCTGTTCTCCAGATGGATTATCCCTTAAAGCAGAATAGCAGTCATCAGATTGGTGGTAAGTACGTAGGGTAAAGGTTTTGGCTATTAGACAAGTTTTAGCTACTTGTAAGTCCTCTAACATTAATTTGGGATGTCCCCGTCACAATGAGATTTGTCAGTTAATGGGCTGACAGTCTGGTTAGTTCCTATCCTATGTAGTATGGGAGCTGGGTGTCAAAGCATAACTAGCAATCCTGACCAATTTCTGACTGGGAATGATTACTTCTATATCCAAGGTTCCTTCTTGTGGCCTAGAGTTTTATTCCTCAGGTTTCCCTATTTCCCAAAGGCCAGAATATTTTTCAAGGAACCTCTAGATTTTTATTTTTATGGCCATTGGATTACATTTTCCTATTGTGTATTTCTTGGGAAAGGCTTTCTTTGTGTTTATTCATCCATGTATTTTTAGGAAGCCTGTTTTACAATCCCAATTTTTGCAATAGAAACTCCTTGCTCCTGGCAACCAGGGGCCCCAGATACAGGACATGCATAGAATTGTAAACTCTGTATTTCTATTTCAAAAGATAAATTCCCACATCTTTTCTTTTTTCCCCAATACAACTAGACACTTGAAGTGGGCATCAGTGAGCAAAGGTCAAGATGGAATATAGGTTGCTGGTCTGTCGTCATACTAGCCATCGCGTCCTCTGGGTCTGTCTTCCTCAGTCCCCAGGTGCAGGCCTGAGGGCAGCAGGGGCTGGACCATAACCCTGTATTCACACCAAACACAAGTGTCAGAAGGAGGGGGTAGGACAGGGAGTGGTAGAGCCCAGGGTCTCAGTTAATCCTTAATTGTAATGGGTCCATAGTCCAGAGACTGTCCAGTTGGCAGCCTCCACGGCTTCTGCTTTCTTGAGCTGGGTGTGGTGGATCCATGGTATAATGTCAGCTATCTTCACAGCCATAAGAATAGAGAGAATCATAATGTAGGGTCCTTTCCAAATTGTTTACAGTCACCCTTTGGCTACCTGTTTGTCCCAGAAAATATCACCAATCTCAAACAAATGGAAACTGGTGGTGGACTCAGCGGTCACCTGGGTCTCTGGGATAGCCTGATAAAATAGCCTTTGTGGAGAACTGGAGGGCCTGGAGTGACTTGAGAAAGGGATAGTTGGAGAATTCTGCCAACTCTGCTATCAGGCTGGGAGGTCAACAGTTAGTCTCTGAGCTCTGAAGTAACGAAACATAATCTCATAGTGGGTAAATCCCTTCCAATATGGGATGCAGTGGACCCAAAGCACAGGAAGGAGGTCTTTCCATTCTTTGCTGGAGTCTAATGAGAGTTTTGTTAGTTTTTTTAATGTCCTGTGTATTATTATTTTTTACCTGCCTTGAACTCTGAAGTTTATGTGCACAAAGAAGTTTTCAATCTATGTCTAAAGCTTTAACAAGGTTTTGGCTATGAAAGACAGCTATTGTCGGACCCATTGCTAGGGGGAGGTGAAATTGGTGGACCAGTTCCTGAAGGAGCTTCTTAGCCACTATTTGAGAGGTTTCTGTCTGGGTGGGGAATATTTTTACCCACCCAGAAAAGATATCTATAAAAACTGGCAGGTACTTGTATCCTTCCCTGGCAGGTGGGATTTCAGTGAAGGCAGTTTTTCTAGAGTACACCAAGATGTTGGTCTCTTATTTGGACCCCAACCTGGGTAAGGTCTCTCTCTCTGTTTTGGATTTATACCATGGTCTGAGCAGCTCAGAAAGTTTTGTGGCCCCCATATGAGTAGCCTGGTGAAGGTCAGTTACCAGAATCCTGCCAATTGTTTTTGGGGAATAATCTTTCCCTCTGGTGTCCTCCATCAGCCTGTGGGTTTCTTTACCATGGAGTCTCAGGCAGAACTGGGTCAGGGAATGTCATCAGAATATTAATAGGCTCTACTGGTCTTCGGGCCATTTGCTGTTTGTTGGGCATCCAGGTCAGTGGGCCAGAAGTGGAGAACCAGAAATAGGGGACAACAATTCATGAGGAATTCAAATAGCCTCAAGAAAGAGCAGGAGTTGTTCTTTGTTTTTTTTTTTTTTTTAATTAATTTATTTCTTACAGTGTTCTGTCTGCACATATCCCTGAAGGCCAGAAGAGGGCACCAGATCCCATTAATAGATGGTTGTGAGGCACCATGTGGTTGCTGGGAATTGAACTCAGGACCTCTGGAAGAACAAGCAGTGCTCTTAACCTCTGAGCCATCTCTCCAGCCCCTGCTCTTTGTTTTTAATGTCCCTTTTCCCAGCAGTAAGAAGCCCTGCCAGTTTTTTTTTTTTTTTAAATATCATACTGTGGACAAGCCCAGTTGTAAAAGCACAGTCACTATCCATGTATTTGGTGGTGGACTTTACCTTTTCCCCACGTGAAAGCCTGAGTCAGATCAATCAGTTTTGATTTCTTGGCTGAGGTACCTGACACAGCCACAAATTGTTTCAGTTAAAGTAGCTACTGCAGCTCCAAAGACCTAGTTTCACCTTTCATCTTGTGACAGTCATAGGTGTCTGAGGGTTGTCACCAGGCAGTGGGTAGCAGGATTGATGGTGGTCAGTTTCTCAAACCAGACTTAGGTGGTCTAGGAGTAGGGCCTGATACTTGGTCACACAGTCATTAGACAGCCAGTTTCAACTGTTCCTCTGAGGAGGACTTCAATCGCATCATGGGGTGCTACAGGTACAAGATCCTGATCCATAGTTAACTTTTTTCCCCCTTTAGACTAACAGTAGCCTCCACAGCTCTTAGACAAGTGGGCCATCTGTGGCTACAGGGCCCAGTCATTTGGACAGGTATGTATGTCACAGAGCACTTCCATGGCCCCCAAATTTGGGCTAAAACCTCTATGTTTTATAGACAAACAGATGAGAAGGATTTGAGACATCTGCAAATGCTAGGACTGGAGCTGAAGTCAGAGCTGATTTTGAAACCTCAATTATCTTGTGTTTAGTTGCAGTCCACATTAGGGCTCCTGCCCCACTTTGTGTTGGTGTATGGAGGCCTTGCTAACTCTGGTATCCAGAGGCAGTGATACTTAGCTATACCTAGGAACTCTTGAACCTGCCTCTTAGTTTTGGGAGTTGGGATCTGAAGGCTGATGTCAGTAATCTTACTCTGAGATAGGCTCCTTTTGCCTCCCTTCAGTTGGTAGCCAAGGTAGGAAGCCTCTAATGTATAAAGTTGGACTTTCTTAGCTGACATTTTGTAGCCCAAGGTCTGTAATTCTGGCATCAGTCACTCAGTGACCCTTTTTATAATCTATTTTCCAGAAGACCCTTTTTACAATCTCTCACAGAAGAAAGGAGGTCAGCATTTAGTATCTCATCAAACAGGGTTGGAGAATTTTTGAATCTTTGGGGCAACCTTTTCCACGTAAATTGCCTGCTATAACCTCCCTCTGGGCCTGTTCATTTAAAAGCAAAGATGGGTTGGTTTGCCCCTGCCAATGGGAGGCTGAGGAATGCATCTTTCCGGTCCAAGAGAGTATACACCTGTTTCTCTAGAAGAATTGGACTCATGAGAATCAGAGATTACAGGTTTCTTAAAAGGCAGGAGAGATGTTTCCCAAGGTGACTAGGAGGGCACCAGGATGCCTGTCTCTTCAAGCTAGGCAATATGGACTGTAATTTCCCCTTTCATTTTCAGGGTCATTGGTTATTGTTAATCTGGATGGAGATAGATGAACTGGTTGGTTGAACATTACAGAAGGTTGGTGTTGGGCCTGACCTGGGGGCCTTGGTTTCTGCCCATACCCCTGGGAATCTTTGTGGTCATTCTGAGAGACAGTCTGACTGTGTCTTTTGATTGGAGGCAGAACTTTCAGCTAGGAAATGCTCTTCTGACAGAAGGTAAGATACCAAAATTTTGCTAGATATCTGGTAAGTCTAATGGTGTTTCATTATCAGAAAAGGTGACAGTAACTTTCAGTTTATGCAATGAATAGTCAGTGCTCTGGTATTCAACACCTTTACCTTTCAAGATACCTCCAGCAACAGGGACCTACTTACACCTTTAC